GTCGTTGGTCATCTTTCCCTTCTTTCGCAGCTGCGACCTCCATGAATGGTACAGGGTCCTGGATCTTGTCTTTCCGTCAGCTGCTTTGTCGGATGATCCTCTTTATCCAGGGACTTAGTTTTCGTCGGGCCTCCCTGAAGGCCCGGAGCCGTTTTCCAATTCCTGGCTGTGGTTGTCAAGAGCGTCCTCTTCCACGGGCTCTGGCTCGTCCAGCGAGCTGTGTTCCCTCAACCAAGCCGAATAGGCGGCTTCTTCCTCTTCCGTGCAATGCTGGCTCGTATCGGCTTGTCGGAAGTAGCGAGCCATTTCCGCCTCGCATGCCTTGGGTTTTGATCTCATGTGGAGTGGGTAGTCGGCCGTTGGGCACCATCCCTCGTAGGGGTCGGAATTTCCCCAGCGTGTGCAGGTGTATACATTGCGTGGTCGTGCTGCAAGCCTCCGAGGTGGTAACCATTTCTCCTGGGTCCCAAGCGGTTGTAAGTTGAATGCAAACCACTTGTGGATAATGAGAACGTCCTGTGACTGGCCTCGGCTGTACGTGCAAGTGACTGGCTTAGGTTCCCCTTGTTTATCCAGTCTCCGGGTAGGCCAGAAGCGATTGTCCTGGTTCTTTCCGTAGTGCTCGTGGCATCCATCAGTAACACACTGAAACCACGGCATCCGATAATGTGCGAAGTGCAGAGGGTGCATCTGGGCGGTGTCCCTTTCGATTGGCTGGTAAGCTTCGGCCTCTCTCGGCGACTCGTCCCAGGTTTTGGTGCTCTTCCCCTCGATAACGACTGCTCGTTTCTTCCAGAAGCCGTCCCACTTCTCGTTCTCCTTACTTTTTCGGTAATACTCCTCCAGAGGATCTGTCCAGTGACCAGTGGCGTCGTTGTTGGGTGCGCTGCGCTGGTATGGGTTGACAAAAGCCTGGATGTCCTGGTTTCCCGAAAAGGTGTTCATGACGTGCACGGCTGTTAGTAGCCTGCGGTCGATAGGTGCAATACGCCCAATTTCTTCCCATGTTGGCGCTCGGTGTGAACCTTCCTCTTGCCCTTCCTGCTGAGGGTCAGAGTGGTCTGGTCCTTCCGACATGTCCCAACTGGTTACGGGGTCGTAATCCATTGCTCTGTCTATCGCGTCCTCGAGGTTGTCCTGGCCGTACTCGGCGCTTGCGATCTCGATGACTCTTGTCCCTTCCACTGCTGTAGCCTCGGCTTTCTTCCATTTCAAATGCTTGGGAGCGCGGCAATCTCTCTTCATGTGTCCCTTCTTTCCGCAGTTGAAGCACGTAACCTGCGAAAGATCACGTTTGCCTTGGCTGGTTTGTGCAGCGTCGATTTCCATGGGTCCAGAGTGAGTGGTTCCGGAGATGTGAGTGCCCCAGGTCCGCTTCTTCTTGGTGTTGTTGCTGTTGTTGCTGGACCTGAGAGGAACGAAGGCAGACGTCCTTCCTTTCTTCTCTTGCTCGCGCTGGAACTGACGATCATCGATGCGGATGGCCTTGTCCATATAAGCGTCAATGGATTCGGGCCTATCCTCCTTGTAAAGTTCATCCTTGACTCTCTCCTTAAGGCCATTGTAAAACAACTGCATCAGCCCGTCGTCGTTAATGTTGCTGCGAAGCGCGTCCTGCTTGAAGAGTGCGGCGTAGGCTGAGGCAGACTTGGTCTGTCGGAGATGGGTCAGGCGCTCCTGTTGTTGTTGTTGTTGTTGTTGTTGTTATTTTTAACGTCTACTTCCGCCTCCCGTAGGGCATGAGACGTGCCAAATCGGAGAATCTAGCATACAAAAATAGGAGCAGTGCCCTAATTGTCCACCAAACCCTTTAATCCGAGGGCAAACCGAGGCCTATTGCCAGTGGAAATCGTGTGTTGCCCATAGCGTAAACGCGGCCGAACACTTATAATCGAATCGCCCAGTGAGCGAGCCGCCAGTATATGACGGGACCTGTAGAACAGAGGAAAAGATAAAAGAAATGACAAAATCACTCCTCTCCGCTCTCGCTCTCGCTCTCCTCCTCCCGCAAGGCCTCCTCTCGTCTCCTTGCACGGTGAACTAGCCTGTCCAAGTCCACCGTAACCCTCTCAATGTCGTGGCCATGGCCAACCTCCACCACCTCATTCTGTAAAAACCCCGTAAGGTTGTCAGCCGTGCCTCCGTCGTCGATGTGCTGTTGCCAGAGTGTCTGGCCCCATGCCTTTCTCGTGCAAGTCCACGAGAAGAAGTGCGAGGTTTGAATATTAGCGATAAAGCGCTGCCAGTAAATTCCAATAGCAAGGGAGAGATTCTCCCGCGTAGCCGCTTCGCCCGTGAAGGGGGAAACTGCATATGCCTTCCTGCAGAAGAAGGGATGGAAGGGATTCTTCCAGCTTCCACAGAAGCATGTTAGCAGGGCGTCCTCGTGCTCGAAGCGCTCGTGGTAGGCCTTGAAATCCCCGTGGCCAGACCTGGCCGTGAGGAGGTGGTGTAAAGAGCGTCTGTCCAACTCTTTTAGTTCGTCGTTAGCCTTGACAGAGACCCTCAACTGGTAGTCTGCATAAGACTCTGGCTTGTTCACGGCCCACCATGCCTTGAAAATCCGTACGCGCCGCCCTCTTAGCAAGCCGCCTTGAGTGCGCAAGGGTAGCCAAGTCTTCATTGACTACCTCTCCTCCTTTGGCGCCCGCCTTAGCGAGCTCGTCTGCAATCTCGTTGCCTGTGATGCCCCTGTGGCCGGGAACCCAGCGGACGTCCACAAGACTGGGGCCATAGCCCTTTCGGATGGCGCGGAAATCGAGGAAAGCCGCTTGTGACGACGCAGCTGGGGTTCCTCGGAGTCGAAAGAGCGCCTTAGCGTCGTGGTGCAATGGGCATTCGATATTTGATCAAGGTAGGCGCACGACGGATAGCCACTCGAGCCACTTGACTGCTACACAGTGGTCAATGATTGGGCCTGGTTGCCACCAACAAACACATCATGCATTTAGGAAGCTGGAGAGCAATTACGGTACATTGCCTTGATATATCCTGGTGTGAGGGGGGAAAAATGATATAGTAAGTCTCTACTCACCAGAACTCTCCGTCAATCCTGCATCACGTACACACCTCGAAATAAACGCTCATCTGGCTTCTTGCCTGCCCATTTTGATCCCTTGTTTTTGGCAGACTTCAATCCCCAATTCATCCCAAGGATGGCTCAATCTCACCCAGAGCCTCCTTATGTTGACATCGCCGAAGCTATCCACCTCCAAGACAGGAGAGACGCCAAGTCGGAGGACCCGGCTCAATCGCTCATCCACCGGTGGCCGGTAAAGGATGTCAACGACGTAAACTTTGTTCTTCTCCAAGAGCGCGAGCTCAACGCCAGCAGTGATGGTGGTGGAAGCAACGGTGGTGATGGTTCTCTGAAGAAAAAGAATTTCCTCGAGCTATTCAAAGATTAGTACACCAATGGCTGTTTACCGAAATTCTAGCCGTCATCTTGTCATGTGGCTGCGCCGCTGCCATTCCCATTGTACTCGGCGTCTATAACCACGATCTCGTTCCTAAGCTGCCGTGGGATTTGTCGCTCAACGCCCTCGTCTCGGTACTTTCTGCCATGGCCAAGTCCAGCTTGCTCTACACCATCTGTGCTGCTCTGGGACAGGATAAATGGGATTGGTCTTATACTGCTAGGGGCATTCGCGAGCACCAAAGATGGCAACAAGAACAAGAAGAACAGCATCATCAAGAGCGACAAGGACACGGAGAGAACGAACGACTAGAGACCACGGGCAAGAACTAGAGGAGGAGCAAAGGGTTCAAGGACATGGAGATGTTCGATCAAGCAAGCAGGGGGCCACTGAGCGCTTTCAAGATTCTGATCAGTCGCCGGACAGCCTTTTCACCAACCTCGCTGGGCGCACTGATGGTGTTGCTTTCCTTTGTTGTTGACCTATTTACGCAGCAGGTCGTGAGACTGCAGTCGCGAGAAAGGCTGGTTCCGTCCAACGATGTTTGGAGAGCGCAGTCGAGTGCACCGGTTTTCTGCCCCACCTATGATGAGTCGCCAGGATGCAGCCAGACTATCCAGGAACTCATCAACGGGGCCATTTGGCTTGATCCGGAAGCCTACAATCCCCAATCGCACGTCAGTTGTTCCAGTGGGTCGTGTGAATGGGAATCCTTCCACGGGATTGAATACTGTGTAGACAGTGGGGTTGTCGAGTGTGACGAACCGTTACAAGCACAGGAGTATTATCGCTGGGATAGAACAATAGAGTAACGGAGTAGTAGCCAAAAGGTACTGGTAGGTTGTGGTAGCTGTTGCTTGCTGAAGATCCGATAACAAGAGGCCTGGGGAGGCCTTCTTTTATACCGGCCTTCCTGGACCCGATCCTTCGTCTCGGGTCCTCCCTTTGGGTCCTCCCTTCGGGTTCTACCTGATTGGTCATCTAGTCTAGCCTACATAGGATTCTCTGATTGGATCGTAACATCGAGGATCCAACCGGATACTGCGACATATCCTTCAATCAGACCGAGCTAAATGAAGGTTTGCGTCAGTACAACGAAACCGGTCTATATCGTGTTAAGGTCCAGTCTTGCAACCATATATTCGATCCTCTTATTACCACGGAGGAAAGATACGAGGTACTTAACTGGAATAAGACCGACAGCATACGATGTAACGGCGGGTGCTTCGATTACGATTTCATGTGAGCGTCGCTAAATAAAGCTTACAATGAGGCCTTTAATTGGGCTCTGGATACCGCAATCTACTCCGCAGTTGTCACTGGATTTGATAGGACTGAAAAATGCAAGGAAATCATTATCAACGGTTCCTTCTACACGGATTTCGATGACTGCTACGATGAGCCGCTCCAGTATACCAAATACCCCACAGAGACCTTCACATATTTGCCAGAGGACAAGACGTATTAACGGCAATGGATCCAGCGGCGTCCATATACCCCCACCGCCGGTTCTTATGGCCCATACGCGCTATGATGAGATAAACGAAGGCGACCCAGCCCACGCGAAAATTGGGTTGCATGTGAACATGACAGAGTGGTCTTTTGTTGTTGTTGTTGTT